AGATGATGTCTGTTTTCAATTGAAAAGCAGAGTTGTGACATTGTCTAGGAGGACAATGGGGTCTAGGAGTATGTATAGAACATTGGCGTCTAGGAGTCTCCCCTGGTTCCAAACCATCTTTAGAGGCTCTAGCACGTCATTCCTCGAGCCGCTCTTTCATTTGAGCCCAAAAAAACATTCATATCTTGTCTGACATCTGTCTCTTATACACATCTAGATGTGTATAAGAGACAGATGTCAGACAAGATATGAATGTTTTTTTGGGCTCAAACGAAAGAGCGGGTCGAGAAATGACGTGCTAGGAAAATTGTGAAAATTACGCTTGAATGTTCAGGATAAACAAAAAATTCCCAAAACTGAAAATTCAAATGCACCTGTCACATAATTTCCAGAGAATTTCCACCAGTAACGATGATTTCTCGTTGATAATTCCAGTCCTCGATAGTGATTATTTGAACTAGATAACATTTCATTTCGTAATTAAAAGCCTAGAATTTAATAGAATGCATCCATTCAAGCGAATTAATAGCTGATTGTGGTTCATGTAGTAAATTAGCATATGAGGATGAGGATTATGTCGCACTGAATCTCGAGGATGAGTTTGACGGTGCATCCATAGTGTCTGGTCATTATCCCCGGGACTTGCCTCGTGACAGAAGGGATACGCTGGGTGAGCGTTACCATCGACCTCGGCAAAAACACAAACGAAAAAAACATAGGCATGAGGTTTTTCTTCCCGAGGTAAATGATGTCCCTCAGGTCGTTGTGATTGATCACGACGAGCTACCACTTCGAGCGCGATGGACTATTGTCGCTACTGCCTGCCTGCTCTTTGCCATGTCACTACTACTAGTCGGTGTTACCTTGAGAATGGCACCAATCATTGATGACATGGGTGAGTCCAACATTATTTCATTATTTCCCCAACAATTTCACCCAGATTTTCGACGAGAAATTATGCATTTCAATGAAATAAAACTTCTTGTTCAAAAGTTTTTGTGTTCATTCCCACAGTATTTTTTTTTATTAATATATAATCAAGTTATCTATGTATTTAGTTCGATAAGAATGTTTTAATTGTATGAAATAAATGATTAATTCATTCTAAATAAATTATCTAATAGAATCGAATGAATGATTAATTCTGTTTAAGGATATTCAAGTATCTTTTACTGTTTGGTACAGACCACAATGTAGATTAAACCATTTTCAATTATCAAATTTGTAATTAAATTGCGAGAGAAAAATTTGGAAAAAAACATGAATTTTCAGCATCATTCTAATTACATTTTGCACAGAATTATTATTTTTTAAACATTCGAGGTTTGTAAATAAATGATTGAAATTGTTTAAACTTTCGGAGACTTTATGTTTTAGACATAAAACTGATCGTTTGTAAATTATTTATAGAAAATGTTCGTAATTTAACAAAATTGCAATTTTTTAATTATTTCGTCAATCTGTCCCCAAAAGTGAACTTTCCATTTTTTTCAGATTTTCAAAATGTTTTCTAACGATTCAATAGCTAGGTTCAAATTCAGACTTTCAAATAATAAAATCATTATAAAATATCGACCACAAAAGTAGAAAAGCATTTCACTGGAGAAAAAGAGGCCAAAGTACTTGGATATCCTTAAATTTAAGTAAAAGCTTTGATGACGCAATTCAATCGAATGAAACAATATATTTTTTCATCAAATAATTCGTCAATTCGTGTCTTCATTCCAATAACGATGTTTCAATTACATGAAATAAATAATTCATTAATTTGAAATAAATTTTCCACTATTATCAAACCCGCAATTGTTTCACTTAGAATAAAAACGCAAATAAAAATCGTGTTTCAACTCAACCAAAAGCCCCGTCACGAATTGTTTTACGGCAATCGTGCAATTATGATGAGTCGAAATATGTGGGTCAAATTGTTCGGGTATAATCACATTAAAATTAGCACAGCACTTAGATGACTTGATACCCATGAGCCCTTTAGCTCTAGACAGTCAACAGTATTTCCCCTAGTTCCGGTGTAGAATTTTAAACATTTCCGCTGCTAGCATTCAATAAACATGAGTTGAGAAGAATATTCCCTCGCAGCTCTGATAAAAGATCGTCGAATATATTTGAATTGTGTGTGAAATGGCTCGCTGAATCGATTTTCTCGAATGATAAAGAGGGTTTGTTGGTCCCCGGGCAAGAGTCGCCAAGTCCTGGCCATCGCTTCGCCGCGCCCTTTGTCTCCCCCATATATTCTTTTTTCTCGCTTTTCTCAATCCAATTCACGATTACATAGCAAAATGACACGTGCAAATGTTAACACAAAAAAAATTCCAATTCACATTTGTCCTATCTTGTTCTCATGTGATCCAAATTAATTTTACTATTAAATGTTGATTAGTGACGGTGTTAATGAATTATCCAACGTTTTACTATCGTTTATCGATAATAATAACAATGATGTACATGAAAATATGATCAACATCATCAAAATATTGATGATATTGGATATTGATAGATGATACAATTAATTTTTAGACTCATTCATTGAAATTTCCAGGAATTTCTTCAATATTGATTATCTGATCGATATTAATTTTACCATTCTATTCTCGATAATAATAACAATGATGTGCGTGAAAATATAATTAATATCATCAAGATAATAATATATGGTATAATTAATTTTTAGAAAGATTCAATTTAGACAGAAATAAGTCCGACAGAGAGGAAATTGTAAATGGATAATTTATCATGGCAACTAACGATCTGACAGGCATTGACTACTGAGACAAATGACGAATGAACCGCCATTAGATAGTGTAAATTATTAATTTGCAATTTCCTCCCAATTGGATTTATTTCCGAAAATTATTCGAAAAAGCTCTTCGAAAATGTTCAGTTATTTTTTTCATTGTACAATCATAAGTTTTGAAGACTATAATCCTCTGTAAAACGAATGTATTTACCCGAAAAACATATAAATGCCTCACGAGAACAATTACTACCACAAAAAATATCACGTTTTGCTGGAAACTTTCTTTTTTCTCCACACGGAGAGAAATGTTCAGTAAAAATTACGGAACTCACAATTCACTCACCAATTACGGAATCAACTCAGAAAATTTAAGTGACGGTATCGTGATTTTTCACAGGAGATTCAGATAAAAATTATGGAACGCTCCGGAAAAATTCCGTGACAATTCCGTAAAATTTCCTACAACCACATTTCGCTCCGGAATTACGGAAAAGATACGTAATTTTTATTGAATATTTCTCTCCGTGCACAAGTAAATTCAGTAGCAAAGCGGTAAAACGGTCCAAGTTGATTTTGACTATTGACCAGTTTTCGATGAATATCTCGGAATCGAAGGGGTTTAGCAAAATTTTTGTTAAAACATTTTTGGTAGCCCTCAATTCGCCCTACAAAAAAGGTCATTACGAAAATTTCGTTATCTCCCTTAGATTCAGAGATATTCTTAAAAAACTCTGCTGTTGCCGAAATCGACTTAAACCGATTTACCGCTTCGCTACTGAATTCATTCAACACGACAAAAGATTGTCCCTCTCAGTACAGTAAATTACATTCAACTTTACAGAATATAATAATCTGAGAGTTGTGATAAAGTCACAAATCCATAATCCCTTCCGTGAAATCCCGAGAAGAGAAAAATGCATCCTCCCGTAATAAGTAGCCGAAGTGAAATGTCACGACGGATCTCTCGTCATAAATTAATCTGCGTTTAATTTACGACCGAGATATTAATTATTCATCCACTCCCTCTGTCTCGCAGCTAATCATCCCATGATATAGTAATCTGGGGGTTGTGATAAGGTCAGCGACAAATCCATAATCTGTTCCGTAAAATCCCGAGAACGGGAAAATGAATTCTCCCGTAATAAGTAGCCTAAAGTGAAATGTCACGGGGGAGGGAAAAAAAATGATATTCGCAGTGTCATTAACGGGATATCCCTCTATTCACGAATGAAAAGTGTAATTTACTTTACACATTTTACGGGAACGGTACACCCCTATATCAGAGCCCAGGGTCCTCGAGTGCCCGAGGGGTTGCGAGGTCGAGGATGTCTTATTCACGTCACTCTAAATTAAAGACGCATGGGCCCTGGATCTTCAGTCTGCTGCGAGATTCCCGTGGCCGTACACCCGCTTCACCGGAAGCTTATCAGTTTCACGCTTTTTTTCGTTTCTCTTTATTTATATTTAATCGTCAGGCGAGGTGAGGCTTTTCGGTATGAATTAGTGAGGATTGTGCATTATTCGGGCTTCCGGAAGACGCCGAAAATCTCGGATTTTTTCTATTTATTTTTTTCAGGAAATTGTGCTTGCCGCTGCGGGAACACGTGATATTTTAAGCGCCGGATAATCAGGTATCGATTATTCGCGGTGAATCCTCGAATTTAATCCTCTGAGTTCGGTTCGATAGTTCTCGTGAAAACGGTAATTATGCAGGGCTGGTGCGTTTCATGTGAAAATTCCGGAAATGATCGACGATAATTGATTTATACGATTAAAATTTTTTTTTTTAATTTTGTTAGTTTAAAGTTAGAGAAATTACGAGAAGTGATCTTTAATATTCACATTCACATTTAAGAATTCGATGAACTATTCATCAATGTTTTATTCTTTAATTGAGAATATTCATTATTGAATTTAAATCATATTTACATTTTAAAATATTGTTAAAAAAGAAAATAGAAGGTCCATTTTTCATCAATTCTCGAAGATTTTTTTCGTAAATCATCTAGTAAAAAATCGATGTTTCACATGAAAAAATGTTTTTTCAAAATCGTAATTCGTTGAAAATAGTGAATGAGCGGATCAATTTTTAAATTAAATGCAAAGAAGGAATAAAAAATTCTATACTAGTTTGCTACAATGTCAAAAATTGGAACATAACACACCTTTAACTAACAAAACTCTCAGACATTGTAGTGACAAGTGATTTTGCCATTAGCAAGCAAGAAACATAAAGACCGGTGTTAAATTTTTCTTGATCATTTCGTAGTACAGATTATCATGTCAACACTTGATTCAGTATTAAAACAGGAAATTCTTGTAGTTCTTTGAATAAATGTTGGCGCACATCCAGCCAAAGTCTCATTCACCTAAAATTAATTCTGGACCAAATCAACAAGTTATACGTACCCCATGTGTTGGCATAGACAGAATTTTTCGTGAGATCGTTGGCTCGAGAAAATAGTTCTACTGATAGAACCAAACAGGCGAGATTTTTCAGTCCCTAATTACGATTGTTTAATTAAAAATGCGATTACGGGAGTGACTTGCTGATCTAATGGGGGAATTTGACGTACCCCAGCCCCAGTGACTGCGCCATAAATATTTGGATGAGTTTATTTATTGTTAAGAGTTACGGGCTGGAGTATTGGCTGAGTGTGCGATGATATCGTGGATGGGCCGATGGGGTTTGTAGCATCTCAACTGGACAGGCATAGTGGTAGAGTATAAAGCAGATACGTGGAACTAAAAATAAACCCCAAGTAAACTCAAGGGTAGGGCACAGGGTACGCCACTAAACTTCATTCCTCTTTTGTCCGTAATTAGTGGGTACTAGGACGAGATGATGAGAACTATTTTTTTCAATTTAATTCAAATATAAAAAGAAATTTGAGAAAATTCAATGAATGCTATTTTTTAAAATTCGGGGGCCTCAGGATTTTAATAGAACTTTCACTTTAAATTCTTGTGAACATTTTTTATCTAGGGAAGAGGCTCTACTTAATTCCCAGTTTTATAACGAGTTGAGTATAATGAATAAAAAATCTAATGAAATATCATTTTCGGAAATAATTTTTACAAGTCCTCGATTTTGATAAACTTTTACAAAAAATTACGAAAAGTATTTTGTTTTTATAGTAAAAGCTCTCAATCCAGAATCAAATCCCCCGACATTACAAGACATTATTGAGCATAGAATACCCTTACGGTGTGCCATTACCTCCGGTTTTATCACCAGGTCACAGTAACGGTGAAATAGTATACTATATAGACACATTTGACAACCAAGATAATTGCCATGTTCACGGTTTGCACCCATCAAGCCTTCAACCCCTAGCATGTCGATCGAACTCAGCGTGTTCACAAAAAGAGAAACCTCAACGATCCCGGCGCTTTGTACGGACCTGATAATTTTAATTCCACTTAAAATTTCCAGAGTTTTATAACGAATTGAGTACAATAGTTGAAAAATCTGATGAAATACCATTTGCGAGAATAATTTTTACAAGTCCTCAACTTGATGACTTTGGTAAAAATAATATCTCTCATAAAAAATTATGAAAATAATATCTCTCATAAAAAATTATGAAAAATATTTTGTTTTTAGAGTAAAAGCTCTCAATCCCGAGTCAAATCCCCCCGGCATTACCAGAAATTATTGAGCATGGAATACCCTTACGGTGTGCCATCGCCTCCGGTTTTATCACCGGGTCACAGTGACGGTGAAATAGTATACTACATAGACACATTAGACAACCAGGATAATTGCCACGTTCACGGCTTGTACCCATCAAGCCCTCAACCCCTAGCATGTCGATCGAACTCAGTGTGTTCGCAAAGTGAGAAACCTCAACGACCCCGTCGCTCCATCGACTCCGGATACTCGATTAAACGGGGCACTGGCCAAATGGGTGGTAAACCCAGGCCAAAGAGTAGCACCAAATTCACTCCCCTGGGTAATTTTTCCGTTTTTTGATTGCTCCCCCCCCCGGCCCCCATCTCCTCTCCGTGTGATAAATCTTGATAAAAATGAATCAGGGGATGAGAGGCGAGCGTGCATTCGGAAAAAATCACCGAGTGGTCGGCGTAGGAGTGTGTCCACCGGGGAAACCCGTCGTAAATCATCGGCGAGAGCTTTGAGTGCTGACTGTCAGGACATTAAAGCCCGAAAAGATGCGGATGAATCGCAGACTCAGACGGAGCAGATGAGGAGACACAGGAAAGTCGTTGCCCTGGTCCTCGGGATTTTTATGTTTTTACTCGTGGCGTCTGTCGTTGTTGTCGTTGTGACACTGACCCACAGTTCGTTTCATTCACCTCCAGTGGGGAATAGGGAGCTGGCGAGGCATCGGGCACAGCAGAATCAACCGCTGCGTCGTTCCAAGATCGCTTGTAGGCGATGTTCATGGTTTTTTTGGATTTCTTGACGAAGGGTTACTCATGATTTCAGACACAGACTGTTGAGAATTTTTTTATATTCCAGTGGACGTGCATTTTGATTCACAATGTTGTATTTGAATTCCATTCAAAGAAATATTATATTCATTTTAACAATATTTTTGGGGAAAACTGAGCAACTTTTACGAGGTATTCCATGTCAAATCGTTTGTTCGGAATCGTAACAAATTTATTCATTCCGAGGGTTTAAACAATTTCAATTATTTATTTGTAAACAACGAGTGTTTAAAAAAATAATAATTCTGCGCAAAATGTAATTTGAATAACGCCGAATATTCACGATTTTTTTTTCAAATTTTTCTCAAGCAATTTAATTGCCAAATTTGATGATTAAAAACGGTTGAATCTATAGTGTGGTCTGTACTGAACCGTAAAAGATACTTTGATATCCTTAAAGTCCCTGAATTAAATAAAATAAACGTCTCTCAAGTGCGCAACCCCTCGTCATTACCCTGCCATTCACGTAATCCAATAAAATAAAATCCCTGAATCTCTCCAACATCTCAATCCGCAAATTTTAATGTGTTCCAGTTCGTAAGGAGAACGAGGAGCTGTTAAATTCGTTGAACCGAGACACATCTGTGCCAGACAATAGTACAACAGCTCCACTTTAAGTTTTTACGATTCCCTCATCCACGAGGGAGAATTGTTGGCGGCTGTTGCCAATGAGAACCGAGAAACCCAACTCAGAATGGAGTAAATCCCGAGGCATCGAGACAATGAGACACGATACCCCTTTGTTCAAGCCGACCGAGGATAATCTGAGGGTGAAGTCGTCGTCAAATGCGAGAGTAGTACGTCAATACGAATAGTGTTAGTACCAGCTGCTCAATTTTTGGTTCATCAAAATGACGGCAAAGGCATACTAGACGTGAATTCGATTATGTATATAGATGTTATGTATGATGACGTCTAATGTTGTTAGTTTTATACAGTAGTGTCGCGCAAATTGACAATGCAAGTTGAGGAGTAATTAATATCGACGCATAGCAGTTCTTTTTATTTCAACTTTTTCATTTTCAATTTAATGACAATCAATGGCTCTGAAACTGAGGAGAAAATTTTAATTTTTATCGAGTCCTTATTTGTAGCTCAATATTATCCGATAAACTTCAACGTCTTGTGCACGCCGCAGGTCAATATCAAGAGCACAAATAATTTATTAAAAATGATAATTCACGCAAATTTTATTCTGCCAAGCTTCGAACGACCCAAGAAGATTGTTTCTCTCCCCAGAAATGCAATTATTTTATACATCCGGAGACTCTTCCACTTCTTATTGTCCCCGGTAATTCAATTACTTTCTTCAATGGCCAAACACGTAGTCTTCTAAATAAAGCAGACAATAAGATTAAGACGTTGTACCCCTGGAGTAAAAAAAACCAGCGGGACAATGTCGGAAGCAAAATTGCATGACATTCTGTTTGAAAATACAGCAATGTAGCGAACGGGTATGGCCTATTGAATACACAATTCGACTCGTGAATTTGTTGATTAAATAATTTTACATGCGTGACACAACGAACAAAATCGGTGAGCATTAAAGAGGATTTATCACGGCGTTGTGAGCGTGCTGGCACGCTCATCGTCTATGAAAATAATATGAAATATTGAAGTTAATGTAAATGAGATGATATTAATTATTATGTCTAGGGTTTTGGGAGTTCCTTTTATAGTATTCCGATGCATTCAATTATGAACAGGGCCTTGGGTAAGAAATTTACCGCAATCTTACTCCCTTTTTCAATTTTATCTACAATCTTCACCTCATGATAATTCGGTAAGACGATTTGAGCCGATTCTGACGATTGCCCAGTTTTCAACGAATATCTCGAAATCTAAGGGAGATGGCGAAATTTTTGTTTGAACATTTTTTGCAGAGCTAATTGAGGACTACAAGAAAGGTTATTACGTAAATTTTGGTATCTCCCTTAGATTTGGAGATATTTGGCAAAATTAACTTGAACCGTTTTACCGTTTCGCTCATCAGATGATTTCATGTCATTTCAATGATTTGAGGATATCCAAGCACTTTGGTTATTGTTTCTCCAGTGAAATGGTTTTCTACTCGTGTAGTAGAACAGCAGAGCTGTCATTTGAGCCCCGTTTGACCCTAAGTTTAAGAACATTTTACAATCATTCAACGATTTAACGCCCGGTTGGAGTATCTTTCGAATGATAACTAGATTGTTTTTTGTCAATTCTTTTATTTGAATAGTTCCATTCGTTTTTCCATGAGGCAGAGAACTGCAAAAAATATAAATGCATGCTAAAAAAAAGTTTTAAAAAATTGGAAATTTTTGAAAGAGCGTGTTTAATTTTTATTGAGGAATATTGGCGGTTGACACGACGCCACTTGCCGCGGTAAATAATACATTTCAAATTTTCTCATTTTTTGAGTTATTCCTCAATCCTCAATAGAAATGAAAAACGCTCTTTCAACATTTTCCAATTTTTTTCTACTTTTTTTTGAGCATACATTTATATTTTTTGCAGCAAAATGCACCAAACTGTAAAAGATACTTGGATATCCTTAAAAAGGAGAATCGATTCCAAATGGAACTGACTTCGCAGTCCCGTAAATTTGTGTGAAATCACGAATAAATTTTCCTAAAATTCAATAAATCCTCATCCAAACTGCCATGATTCACCGAACAAAACTCTCCAAATCATTGACCGCCTCCAAAATACTCCTTAGACTTATCAATAACCAATTGTTTTCACTCGACGAAGGAACCAAATGCAATTAATCCGCCTGAATCTCTACCGTTGACAATCAATCTTACGCGAGAATGTCTCTCCGCTGCATACGTACTATCAATATTATAGCCAATGTATAAATAAAATCGATGAATATCAAAATAACTGACTATTATGAAATCAAATAATGAAATTTTAACGAGTGTTGTGACAATGTATGTTGTGCCAATGAGAAATTAAATAACAGAGACGCATAAGATCAAAATAACGAGATATTTATGTTTATATATATTGTCCTATTAATGCATGCTTGTATCATGGTTATCAATTACGATGTAATATCCAAATAGATTGGGTTTAATTGTTACATTACGCGTATTTTTATTCCTCCCCATCACCAGGAAATACTTCTAAAATCCTAACAAAGAGAATTTAATCCCTGAAGTGTTGCGTAATGGGTATGAAATACTGATAGCAACAAGAATTTTTCACCAAACAACCACCAAAGAATGAACAACAGCAATTTCATGCTCACATTAACAATTTATTTTCAACATTTCAATCAATAATACACATTTATGCACGTGCAACAGAGAGTGCGATAAAACGTGCAAGTTTCAAGTGAATTAAAACCATAAACAATAGGTATAATTTGGCAAACTCTCAGCAGTGCACTACACGAAAACATCTGCACATAGGTACTCATTTTAGTTTAAAATTGTCTCACCCTGCTTCAAAGGGATAGTCATGCAAGATTGCTCGCCAAAAAAAATAATAACATAAAACCTACGAGCTATTGCAATAATATTCCAATAAACTTCCGTACGAAAGGGGCGGACCACGTGATTCTCAAATAATTAAACGACGAGTATTTCTCTCGATTGGTGGAATTTCAAAGAAAAAAATATCTATGTGGTTCTAGGAGAAAATGGGTTAATTTTTTTAATTTTACTGAAAAACCTAGGAAATTTGATAGAAAATTCTATTATATGTCCATTAAAATTCTGTCAGTTTTTAGAAAATTAGAAGAATAAAGAGAATTTATACTAATTGAATTTTTGAGTTTGAATTTTTATACAAATTTGGAGAATTAGTAGAATTGCATCTTTCTATGCAACATTTTGTGTTAAAAATCCTCGGAATAAATTTTCTAAAATGGTTCAACTCTACTTTTCTTTGCTCTTCATTAAAAAAATCTAACAAAAGAAAAGAGAAAAGAAGCTGAAAGAAATGAAAAGTTAAAGTTAAAAGGTGTTAAAGTTGAATAGAAATGAAATAGAATTTTCTAGTGAATTGACTAGTTTTTTCAACGAAATTATTAAATTCGCTGCAGATAACTAGACGAAAATTATTTCTCTCGATTGATGAAATTTCAAAGAATAAAAACATTTCATGTGGTTCTAGAGAGCAAATGTGCCCAGACATTTTTTTACTTTCACAGAAAACTAGTAAATTCCATGAAAAAATCTATTGGATTTCCATTGAAATTCTATTAGTTTTCAGCCGAAAATTACCAATAGATATTACTCTACAGGGAAAACCAGCAGAATTTGATCTTTCTATACAACACTTTCCATAAAAAATCCTCGAAATAAATTTTCTAAGAAAACCAAACAAAAAAATCTTGGAAAATGTAAGACGAGGAGTTTCTGCAAAATATTATTCAAAATATTTCAATAGATCAAGTTACATGGAAAATCAAATTGTATTGATTTTTTTCTACAGAATAATCTCCATCGAACATTTCTACTGAAAAAAACGATCAGGTGAGCTGAGGAACTTTTCCTCGTAGCCCACGTCATTACCGAGATAATTCCACTCGAATCAAGTGAACAATCGAATCGTCCGATTAATTCGAGAATCGTTAAGTAACGTGTGTTTCAGTCGTTTTGTCGGACCCTGCCTCAAAGGGAACAAAAAAGATCTTGATATAATCGTCGATAAATCCATAAAAAAGCATAGATATTACCGACGATGAATAAATAACTTAACGACTAATTACAAATTATCAGTCTCAATATTCTTACACCCTGCCTTAAAGGGATGAGAAGATGGTCATGCGAAATTGCTCTGCACACAATGTAAGTTGTTGGTAACATGGTAGTGGCCGTTATCGATTATTCTATTAGATAGATTGATTAGAGTAATAACCACGTTTTTCTAAATACGTACAACTGCTCGAGTTATTCGGTCTCAATTGGTCGTAATGACGTTTCAGGGCCGCTATATGTTCACTGATTTATCCGGCAAATGCGTGAGACACCCGACAATTGAGCAGTATCAACAAGTTGATGAATAGTACGTACGTACGCAGAAAAAAAAACGTTAATTCTTGAATCGAAATAGTTCATTTCGCGATTCAATTAACGTTACTTCGCTTATTTTTTTTTGATTATGTAAAGGGGGGGAATAATCGTTCAACTTGGAGAAAGCTGGGTCGTCATAATTGGATTTTTGCATGAAGTTTTTTCATTGAATGAAAATCGAATATAAAACTTGAAGGGAAGACATTAAATGAGATAACGAAAAAACTAGTCTTCCATCGTGAATATCTCCTGACCAAACGACGCAATTTGGAAGAGTCACATCTCATTTTGAAGCTTGAAAAAATATCTCGAAAATGAAAAAAAATGGGGAAATTTCACTCTGCCGTTCTCGCGTTATGGGCGATTGAGTACGGTCCGTTTCACCTCACGAATCGAATTCAATGAAAAAACTTCACGCAAACCTCCAATCACGGATGAAAAAGTTTAGTAGAAAAACCTAGTGAATTCGCTAGACAAATCTATTGGATTTCTATTGAATTTTCGATTAATTTTTGGCCGATTCTACTGAAATGTTTAATAGAAAATATTCTATAGAAAAATCAAAAGAATTCGATTTTCCTATAAAACTTATTCTACTGAGATATTTTCTACAGATTTTCCTCGGCTCCAATTTTCCAAGTTTGTCGCTTGATTTTCTTGATGCGAAGAAAAGAAAAATAGAATGAAAAATCTTGGGAAATTTGAGCCAAGGAAATTCAATAGAAAACATCTGAAGAGAATAAGCTACATAGAAAAATCAGATTCTATTCGCAGCAAAAACGAATGTCTGATTTTCGCATACCTTTTGTAGACATTTTTCAGACACTAAAAAACGTCTGAATAAAATGAAAATTTGTCTGAATTTCAACCATGAATTAGGATGGTTAGACCTGTTCGTCTGAAATTCAGACAAATTTTCATTTCATTCAGACATTTGTTAATGTCTGAAAAATGTCTACAAAAGGTGTGCGAAATTCAGGCATTCGTTTTTGCTATGTCGACTTTTTCGGTTGAATAACTTAACTTTTGACGTTATCTATCGCAAGAAATATACATTCTTACAAATGGCAATTGCCTTCAGCCTATTCTATTGAATATTTTCTACTGAATATTCCAAAAGAATCGGCCAAAATCAAATAAGAAGTTCCTTAAAAATCCACTAGAATTTCCCAACGAATTCGCTGGTATTTCTACAAAACTTTGTCCCCCGTGATAAATTAAAAATCAATCCAAAGCCCTCAGAAAACACTGCTGACATGGATTTCACTGAAGACCCCCTCCTCAACAGTGGTGGCCTTCTCCCTCCTCCTGCTCCTCTCAGCCTTGGAGCAATTGAGCTCCTCCTGAATCTCAAACAACGACTTGCCCTTGGTCTCCGGTACCCAGAAGAATATAAAAATAATCCCGACAAAGCAAGAAGCGCCAAATCCCCCGAGAGAAGTGTAAATCCCCCAATGATCAGTGATCACCTGATGCATCTTCGAGACAATGAACGCCAGCAAAGAGGCCCAGAGTGACGCCAGCGATACAGCAATGCCTTTGACATTAGTGGGAAACAATTCCCCAAGCATCATGTACGACAATGGGCTCAACCCCAAAGCCACACTCAGCTCGTAGCATATGACTGATACATCCAGAACCCATCCAACGTCTCTCAACTCCTTCTCCATCTTCAAGAAGAACTTGATAAAGTAGAAGATGCCAGCAATTGTCAAGGAAACTCCAGAGAAGAACGTGGTGATGAGTAAAAGAGGTCTCCTGCCAAGTCTGTCAACGAGAATAGCAGCTCCGATGCCGGCGATTAGTTGAACGACACTCAGAATGATGACAGCAATTCCCGGTGACAGGCCCGAATTGCTCTCGCCGATGATCTCCTGAGTGTAGGATTCTATGGCAGCTAGTCCAGAGAACTGGAGGACAACTTGTAGTCCAAAGCTGACGATGACGGCCTTTCGATTGCCCCTGGTGTCGAAGAGGTCCCAGAAGTGTCCCCTGTTCGTCATGTCGTTGATGACTGTCTTCGCGATCTGATCGAGATTCTCCTCGAGGGCTTCGTTGCTCTCTGGTGGATCGCTGTACTGCTTCAGCTGTTGGAGATTCCTGGCAGCCCCCGCCCGGTCGTTCTTCATCATGAGGTAATACGGGGACTCCGGCATGAAGGCAAAGGTCACGAAGAAGAGGAGGGGAATAACGGCGCAGGAGTAGGCGAGGTACTCGTAGGGGACAAATGGACCGATTGCGTGGGCGTAAAGTTCACCGAATGTCACCATCAGCTTGATGAAGGAACCCAGAGTGCCGCGGATGTTCTTGTCCGCTATTTCACCGATGTACATCGGGCAAACGACGTAGACCACACCCTGGCCGACGCCGCTGATGAAGCGAGAGGCGTAGAGGATGTAGGGGTTCCACGCGACTATTATCAAGATCCAGCCAGCCAACAGGGGTAAGCCGGACACCAGGAGACTAGTCTTACGACCGTATCGATCTACGATTAAGGCTGCGATCAAACTCCCTGGGATTGTGCCCAGGAGGTAGAAGGAGGCGATCCAGGAGGCGTCGTCCGAGCTCAGGGGAATTGATGAGGCGTTGGATTTTAGGTACGGGAGGCTTGGCGATGTCCAGCCGATGTGGGAGCCAGTTATCGCGAGGGATATTGTGGCTGGAATGGTAAATTTTAGATTGAAGTGGATTTAGAGAGGCACTGGGACAAAGTCGGCATGATTTATCTAAAAATTCAAGCAAAATTGTTCTTCGAAAATCATGGGATTGTGAATTATAATAACTTCCCAAACGTTTCACGAATTATTCTAGGAAATTTTAATTATGCAGAAGACAATTAACACATTTAGAGTTGCTATATTAGAAGAAATCAGTTGATGATAGAATAATGAAAACCGATGATTTTTTTCTATAACAAATTAAAGGAAAGATTGCAAAATAAAAAGAATTCGCAATAGAATTAATGAATAACTCTCGTCGAAAAATATTCGGATTCAATTTCAATGTGTGATTAACAGAATGCCCAAGGGATAAAAACTGATTTGATATTTGATAAAATATATGTAAAAAATCAAGTAAAATTTTTTATTGAAAATCATAGAACTATAAATTATGATAATTTTCCAGATGTTCCACGAATGATTCCAAGACATAATAATTATATAGAAGATAATTGACATAATTGAAACTTTTAGAGCTGTTGTATTAAAAAAATTAGTCGGCAGTAGAATAATAATGAGCTATCATTTTTTTCCGTTCACAATCCCAGGAAAAAAATGTGAAATTGCAAAAAAAAATACAGTTGACAATAGAATTCATGAATAATCGAATTCAAAGTTGCAAAATGGAAAATAACCGTGTACCTCTCCATTAAATTTCAATAACCATCCAACATTCAATATCCGACATCCAAAAGTATCCGGATCCAATTTAAATTTATGATAAATAGAACAGAATGCCCGAGGGATTTGCATTAATTCCGGGATTAAGCACTCACCAGTTATAGCTGCGAGATACTGCGGCCACTGCTTCGTGTCTTTGTTGTTATTATGTACCTCCATTCTATCGTTTTCTTCAGACCATAAGACTAAAAAATTATAATTTATTGCAAGAACACTGAATAAGTGAATTTTTCAACTTACAATAACGAAGAGAGTTTTCGGGACTATTAAGACACTAGGCTGGCACGATTAAGATCGATTCGCAGGTATCGAAACGATCGACCAGAGCCCGAGACAGTGGATGATTCTTATTAGACGTCAAAGACGCCGGGCGAGTAGATTTTATACTCAGTCGTTTGAACTCGTTTATCGGTGTTAGTCTTTATTCTACTGTCATGTTTCACTCCTCTCGGCTCTTATTACGTGTTATGGAGACGCCGATTAAACAAGACAATTAGTGGAGTTACATATTGGGAGAAACAGTGATGAAATTTGTTCGGATGAACATTATCAATTTTTCAATGAGCTTATGACACTGACGGATCTATTAAATGGGAAACTTAATGGATTTTCTAGAAAATTCTACGGAAATTCCATTTTTCCTCGCGTTCAATGAAAAATCAGTTGATATTGTTTCTAGCTCTAGATTATTCTGTTATATTTTTGTTGTCCCATTAGAATTTTTGGGCATGCATTTTCCGAATTTCAGTTGATATGTCGATTTTTGCAAAAATGAGAGTACTAACATGGATTTTGAGGGAAAAATCGAAGAATGGAAATATTTCGAAAACTTTGTATGAACGGTTATGCATATTTAGATTGATTGAGATAGAAGACATCGGGACAAATATTTTCAAAAACAAAAAATTGAAATCGTTTGAATAGTTTTTGAGATATTTGCGAAAAACGATTTAGAAACAAATGGCGATTTCTCAAAAACGGCGGGATCGATTGGATCGAAATTTCGCACAGAGTTCGATCTCATTAATACCTATAATCTGACAAAATTTCAGATTTTTGGAATCATTTTAGTCCTTTAGTTCTTCAATTTTCTAAAAATTGATTACCAGGTGGACATCCGTATTTTCAAACTTCGTATTTTCAAGCTTTAAACCATATTCTACATCATTTCCAAACAAAATTAGAGAATCTAAAAATAGAACGATTACAATGCTGCCGTTGGGAAGCAAAAATTGAAAAAAAATATGGAAAAATGAATCTGTTGACTTTGCGTCGTCAAATGCTTATTAAAAAAATTCCGCGCAAAAAATAATTTTTTAAATATAATTGCCCTGGAATTGTGATAAAACTCAGACAAACCGCTTGATTCGCCTCTAAGGTTTTTTATACATGAGAAAACATGTGTTTCATATGAACGACAGAAGTCATGTTGAATGATCATTGAATTATTCCATCCTGTCACCTGTTCAAATGTTTTCATTCACATTTTTTTTTTGATTTTTGGAGCGTCCTGATGAAACAGATGATTTATCAGTACCGAATAATTTCATAATGCGCAATTTGTCATGAATTCTTATCAGAAGTCATCACCTTGTAGAATCCACAGGTGCGTTCAAACATTTGTTCTGGAATTTTCATAATTTATTTTCGCATTTTCTAGCGGAAAGTTTGCTGTTTTTCATTGCTGCATACGATAATTAAATGTCCGATAGGAAAATCGACATATTTGTAATGTGAATTATTCCATCACCATTTCACCTGTTCAAATGTTATCATTCAGATTTTTCGGAAATTTTCGGCCGAAGCCTGATGTAATCGATACGAATGCCCCCACAATGCGCTATTTCTGATGAATTCTTATCGAAACTCATCTGTTGGAATTTCAATAATTTTTTTTTCCAATTTCCAACGGAAATTTTGCGGCTTCTCATTGTTGCGGAGGATGTAGGATAATCAAACGTCTGATACGCGATTATAAATAGCGAAATTGACATAATTATTATGTGAATACTACGCCTTCCCTGTTTGTATCTGAAAATACAAAATTCCTCTCAATTATAGTGTACGTCACGCAGGTAATCCCGGGTAAACATTGTGATCAGTCCCGTGAATTCAACCGGAATACAGAGGAAATCATCTTGAAGCTTCGAGAATTTCAATTGAAATAACTGAGAGAATGCTTTTACGAATATCCAAGCACTTTGGCGATTTTTTCTCCAAATGATTTTCTACTTTAGCAGTCAAACATCAGAGCTTCCATTTGAGCTCCATTTGACCCGCAATTTTCTGAACTTTTACAATGATTTTATTACTATTAGTAGCTCAGCCCATCGAAAGTGGTAGAGCTACTTTTTGGCGCCTGTCAGACTTGAGCATACACCGTTCAGCCTCATTCACATCATAAATTAATTAAAGCTGTGCAAACAGAGGTGATAAGACTGCCGTCTTCCGCTCTAATATTCCATAAATATCAGCCAAACAAAGAGCATCAATTACCCCTCATCAAGTTGAAATAATTCAGACTTAAAAATGAAAACTTCAAGTTTGAATTATTTTAATCGAGACTTAACGCGATTGTAATTACAAACTGGAACATGAGGAGTGACGGGTGTACGTATGCTCCGAAATGATGAACAGAGATATCGATCCAGAACACCTTATGCGCCACAATCCGCTCAGGAGAGAGAAAGAGAGAGACAGAGACAGAGACAGAGAGAGAGAGAGAGAGAGAGAGAGAGAGAGAGAGAGAGAGAGAGAGAGAGTCTGTGTGTCAGCTGAGGCACTTGGAAGTACACCACCGCCAAAAGGTCGAGCACGATTGGCCTCCATGTTGAAACTCGCTGATATAAACCGTACGACAATCACATCTATTTGTTTTAATTAAATTCCATGAATATTAATAAGTCTATAGTTTCCCCGAATCATTCAATTGTGCTTGCAGTGGTGGTTGATGAACGAGAGTGAGGGGCTTGATGTTACACTAAATGACTATCTGAACAGTTTGGGAAGAGGAAACGTTCATTAGGTACTGGGATAAAGGGGGATTGATAAGATGTGTGGCAGTTTCACGTGCTCCAAAAATGCTCTGACAGCATTGAACATTCTTTACATCGTAAGTTTGATTTTTGTGGGGATTGAAGGTTAATTAAGGGCTTTCAAGGGATTTTTACAGCTGCAGATTAGACATACTAGTATAGCTTTGTAGATTATTAATTATTGAAGTTGAAAGATTAGTTGTAAAGAGATTTTTTTGGAAACTCATTGAACTTTTAAAAATGATTTTCATGATAATTGATTGTTTACAAATTAATTATGAAAATGTAATTATAAAAATTACAATTTTTTAGTCATTCGATTCTAAAAAAAAAATCGAAGTTATTCAAATTACAATTTGCAACAGATTTTTTAACATTTTCTTTTTTATGGAAATTGATTAAACTTTCAAAAATATGATTTTCATATCAATTCATTGTTTAATTCTTCATGAAAATATTATCATCAACAATGACAATTTTGTGATCATTTCAGATTATTAAAAAATCTAACAGTGAAATTTAGATTTTTAAAATGCAAGAAAAAAAAATCATCGCAGAATGCTCGGCAATAGAGATCCAAACGAAATCCTCCCCCAAATAATTAATGATTACTATTGATTTCAGGTTGTAGCATTTATCTTGATTGGAGTTGCTGTCTATGGAAGGGCATCAGCCCTCGTGACAAATCTCCCCATTATCGGGGGGATTCTTGCCTGCGGAGTTATTCTAATTCTCATATCAATACTAGGGCTCATTGGGGCAGTCAAGCATCATCAAGTGCTTCTCTTCTTCGTATCCTTTTTCATGAGAATCTAAACAAAAAAAACGATGCAGCAGAAGATGTCGACATGTTTTTCTTGACAATTGTGTTCAATAGTACATGCTCATTCTCTTCCTGCTGTTCCTGGTTCAGTTCAGCATCGCCTGTGCATGTCTCGCCGTTAATACTAAACAACAGGAGGAATTGGCTGAGCAGGTGATGAATATACGGAAATTCTCGTGCTTCTCGATGTTATTACGATGGGATGAGGCGTATTATTCATTTTGTTGCATAATTTTTTTTCGCAGGGATGGAAACGCGTTGGCCCTCATATCAAGGAGCAAGTCCAGACAACATTCACTTGCTGTGGATTCAACAGTTCGATGGGAGCAATCGATGATCCTGCGATGAGCCATCCTTCATGCGAAGTCGTGAACGTACGTCGTACATTAATAAAGATTAAAGTCCGGGTGGATTATCTTTCGAACGTGATCTTGGTTATTTTTGCTTCAGATTGGAAGAATTGCAGTCCTTCGATTTTTACATTTTCTAATTTTAATTGGAAATGATGTAGAATGGTTTGCAAACGTAAAAATATTAAGTTTGGCGACCATGGCTGAATGTAACCGCGTCCACCGCCACCTTTCCAATGATCAATTTTTAGAAAATTGAGAAATTAAGTGGCTAAAATAATTCCCGAAAATCTGAAATTACGTCAGATTATAGGTCTTAATGAGGACTAACTCTGTGCAAAATTTCAACTCGATCGCTCTAATCATTTTGGAGAAAAAGCCATTCGTTTTTAAATCGTTTTCCGCAAATATCTTCAAAACTAGTGGGCCGATTTCGATTTTGTTGTTTGCGAAATATTCGCTTCGCTGCCTTTTGTTCAAATCAATCAAAACATATATACCATTCACACAAACTTTTCGAGATATTCCCGTTTTTCCGTTTTTTTCATAGACAAAAATTTGTAAAACACTCTAGCTTGCGCGAAAATCGAGGTATCAACTTGAAATTTAGCCAGAAAATATATATACTCTCATACGAAGTCCTATTCTAAAAAGAACATACTTAAAGTCGATAACTATCGATATCTCACAAGTCTGTCACGCTTATTCCTCATTGGTTCCTCAGTCGGCATATTTAATTCATGATTAATTTAATTTGGAGATTTTCAGTTATGATTATACGTAATTATATTATACGTATCTAAAAAAACCAAACACCTACTGGAAAATGTTCCTAAGGACTCCCTCAATCCCCTCAAAAATCACCAGCCCCCAGGGAAACGTACTTGAGGGTAGTACAAGGGTGAAAAGTTCATTTTTTGCGATTTTCACACAAAAAAAATTTTTTTGAACGTGATATATCTAAAAAAAACCAAACAACTCCTACTGATGTAAAATCCAATGGAAATTGTGATATATTTTACATTATGAAGATGAAAAAACTATCGAGATAAAGTTCGAAAGATAATCCACCCGGCCCTTGAAGCTGCATAATTCTGTGCATTCGTGAATAACGAAAGCTCCACAATTTGTTGGATTAATGTTACAGAAAATGTGCTGTCCAGGCCCTAGTCTCGACCCAGCCTGTTCGTGCAAACCCTGCATGGAAAAACTTCAGTCAACGATTGATTATGCATTTAAACTCTGCGGGGGCATTGGTTTATTCTTCAGCTTCACTGAGGTAATGCAACTTGTCTCAAATTATTCGTTCATCTGATGGATAACCATTTGTGATCTTCTGAAATATTAATCTCTGCCCTCTCTGTCATTCACGATTTTTATATCATGATGATAATGTCAGTGTTAGAAATAATGTGACTATGTTTGTTGTGTCACGTGTGGAGAAATATTACAAACATATTTAGTTCCTTACGAATTTCATCCATATTGAATTGACAAGAGAATTTTTCAAAACGCATTCAATTTTTAAACAGCAATAACGAGATATTGGAAGTGTGAGATTTTTTTTCTTCATTTTGAAGATGTTTTTTCAGAATTGGAAATGATATTTGATCAGTAATTGAAGTACTTTTGTTTTACTTTACTTCTCACGCATAGCAAAATTTTATAGAAAAATCTGACGAAAAAATTCCATTGAATTTTTATTAAATTTTGTATTAGTTGCTAGCTGATGCGATTGAAAATTTCTACAGCTTATCTACAGGTTTTTTTTTCAGTAGAAATTTTCAATTAAAAATATTCTATAAAAAAAATCAATAGAATTCTATTTTTCTACACAACTTATCTTTCTACTTCATTTCTCAACACGTGCAGTAGTGGATGCTAACCCACGAAAAAAAAACTGGCCAAGAAAACCGAAAAATAATTCTAAATTTGCAGTTTGTCGGTGTGTGGTTGACGGTGCGCTACAGGAACCAGAAAGACCCGAGAGCTAATCCTAGTGCTTTTCTCTAGTCTAATATCTCCATGACCCCTGTCATCTTGCACGACACGCTAACTAGATGGTGGGTGTGGGTTTATCTGTTTAGAAATATCATTCTACCACGTGCAAAAAAAATATCATAAAAACGTACATACATAACGAATTCCCTGGAAAATTCGAAAAAAATCAACGAAATTCCATTTTTCCATACAATTTATTCTATTGAGATATTTTCTACAGAGAATACCTCAGCGGGAATTTCCTGTGTTTTGTTGTTTGAGTTCCTTAATGAAAAGAGAATGGAAGCAATGAAAAAATTGAGAAAATTCATGTCGAGAAATTTATACAGAAAAAGTCTCAAAAGAAAAGTTGCATAGCAAGGTGGAATTGTAGTTTTTTTTAAGGATATCCAAGTTCTTTGACTATTTTTTCTCCGGTGAAATACTTTTCTACTTTTAAAGTCAACATCAGAGCTTTCATTTGAGCCCCATTTGACCCCAAGTTAGAAAACATTTTAAAAATCTGAAATAAAAAGAAAGTTTACTTTTGATGAAAGATTGATAAAATAATTTAAAAATTTCAATTAAGAAAATTACGAGTATTTTCTATAAATAATTTATACACAATCAATTTTTCAACATAAAAATCGTTTGCTTGGAATCGTAACAAATTTAGTCATTCAGAATTTTACCAGAAATTGATTTTATGCCTAAAAAAATTAGTTTTCTGAAAGTTTAAAAATTTTAATCATTTATCTATAAACAACGAATGTTTAAAAAAAATGATGATTCTGTGAAAAATGTAATTTTAATGACGCTGAATATTCATGATTTTTTTTTTCAATTTTTTCTCACACAATTTAATTGACAAATTTGATGAGTGAAAAGGGTTGAAAATTTAATATTTCACTTTGACGAATTCGATGATTGAGAAAATACTTGGATATCCTCAAAATAACTTTCTATTGGACATTTTCAATTAAAAAAAGCACAGTAAAGCTGCGAAATTATTCAATAGAATCATCCAAAAACCAATAGAATTGTCAATAGAAATGCAAAAAAAATCCAACAGAATTTTCTATCGAATTCCCTAGGTTTTTCTGTGTAATTTTTCGTCCGTGACATCATACACGTACACGTAACTGTGCTGTTTATTACCCAGCAAATAACAAATGCATGCCTGACACCACCAAAGCCCACGATTTAACGAGTTGATTCCACATTTTGGGGATTTTATTGTAGGTGATCGCTGCATTTCTGGCGAGACGCTATCGCAATCAGTTGAATCCAGATGGAAAAGCTGCGAGATCATTGTTCCCGAGACTCAATTATGTTCATTGATTTATGATGAGGGAAATTTGTCTACCTAACGAACAAATGGAAATCCAGAAATGCTAATCAAAATTCCGAGAAGAATATACATATAAATACGTTTCGTGTGTTATAGAAACTATAAAAAGTATCGCATTTTAGGTGACAGGACCATTTTCTTGTTTTCACTGTAAAAAACGAGAAAAAATAGACACATCTGACTGTTTTTAAAATGTTGATAACTCGTTGTTGTTTTCAATGATGAATTTTTCATGAAAGGAGATGATCTTTTCGTGAAATTCCATGTGTTTGTTCATCGAAAATATATTATTGTCATTTTTAACGAGCTTAGACTGAGCTGTAGGGGAGGGTGGGGTAAAATGGACACTTCTGACTTTTTTTCTAATCTTTATAGCTCAAGAACAAATTTATCACAAAGGGAAACAATTGTCTCTCCATGGAAAAAAAAATCATTCCTTTCCATTGAAAATTAAATGAGCTATTGTTATTTTGAAAAAACTCAAGTGTCCATTTTTCCGCATTAGCCCCTATTCATTTACGAGTTGTAAATATTTTTGAGAAAGTCAAGAGTGTTTTTTTTCTTTGGATACCTTATTGGAGTCATACGTAATTTTTGTAAACATCGACATCTAATTTTCGATAATCTCGAAACGTGTAAATCTTTTGGAATGTAATAATAGTCGTAATGTGTGCTCTAGTCAGCCACGGATAATAGTCTTAGAGCCATGAGGACAAGAACAAGAACAATATAAACCTTGAAGCGCCTTTCAATCGAGGAGTCTCGAGATTTTACGCGAATTCATTGTTTTTCGAATTTTGTATGATTTTCCCTGTTTTTTTTATGTATCAGAGAGGGAGGTGTATCGGTTTATCGAGACTGATGAATTATTGTTGTCAATTAATATCGTTTATTATTTTTAATTCTTCCTTCTGACTGGATTATTATACTGTTACACAATAATAGTGTCAACTTTAGGTGTAGGCGCAGCATTTCAACATGACGTTCAGTTCATTGTGTTGAGTGTCTAAATTTGCTTCACGTTTGTGCAATAAACGATGATAATAAAAGGAAATTATGAACAGAATGCAGTTGGCTAGATTTTTTTCTCAAGGATTCGACAAAAATCGATTGATCAACAGCCTTCCAACCGATTCCACGTGTAGACTAAATAATTGCCAAGGTTAAAATTTATTTAACAAAGGTAGGAAAATATATTTAAGAGCTTTTTCAAACCTATTTCTCGTGGAGGCTGAGCAGATGGGGGTTTTACCCCTGAGATTCTAGCAAAAAAAATTGGTAAAATTTTTCGTTAACTCAATTATCTCAATTATTGATTGATGAAATAATTCGAAATTTGAAAATGTAATTTAATAATTAAAAAATTGAGTAATATTAATCAATTGACTAATTTCAAATTTAACTTAATTAAACATTTATGATTAAATTTTTAGGGTGGTGTCTACTGGAATTGCTTGCAAAATTGCAAAAAAAAATGGCAAAATGTTTCCCGAAATTTAAAAAATCCACTCAATACATATATCGACGACCGGTATCCTCCTGCCTAACCGTCGACCACCGACTCCCAAAAGCCCTCAACAAACCTGGACAAACCACAGTCCCCTCAGTCGCATCTGTTTCCTCACCGCGTGTGTCCACTACTGGACATCCCGAGGCACTTTATCACCTAATATGTAGATTTTTCCCCATAACTTAACAAATTTCTCTTTTAATTACTCTCGCGCTTTATGTAATTACGTGTCTCCGTGTTACTCGATAATTTATTTATTAAATTCCCTCTAATGTTTAGACATTCAGTTTTAAAAGCAATCCGCGTGCTTCTCAACGTACTTAGTCTATCGTTTTGTTTATCCGCCTCGAGTATTTATTTATTGTCCATAAAAATATTAAACATGATATTTGTCTGTGTCACCGCGGGTCTCCTCTATCTCGCCTCCAAATATCGCGACAATGTACTCCGTAGTGTCAAAAATATATGTCACAGCATAACTAGTCCACACGATGATGAAGACACAAAGAATAATAAAAAATGCGTTCTTCCACTCAGCAAAATTATACTGGCAGATTCACCAGAAAAATGTGACTATGCTGTTCAACGTATTCGAAGGTGAGGACACAAATTTTATTTACATTCTATCAGTCTCATCTCCACAATTATTTGTTTTCATTTCAAACTCTATCAGTCGAAGGACAGACCTCTGCTCTCTGTTTTGTGTACATGTCTCACTTGAATTTTATTCGATGCCATGCGATATTTCAGGGAAATTTATAGTCGATGGTTGAATTTTGTTTCAGGAATTTGTGCCATGGTGTTCTCGGCTTCGATTGCGAATGGGTAAACGAAGGCCGGGTTTCATTACTACAACTTGCCACTTATAATGGAGTCTGTGCTTTATTCAGACTTGGGAAAATTGGATATGTTCCACCCAAGCTGAAGGTATAAGTGTTTTTTCATCATTTCAATTTAATTTTGCAGAATATTCTCTTTTTATCAACATTGTCTTCAATTATTTTATGAATTCCCTACTGTTTTCATCATTAAATGCCATCATGAATGTAATTTCATTCTTGAATAAATTTCATGTCCAATCATGAATTTTTAAATCAGTAGCGAAGGGGTAAAACGGTTTAAGTCGACTCATCTCCCAGTTGAGTTTTTGAGGAATATTTCGGAATCTAAGGGAGATAGCGAAATTTTCGTAATTACATTTGTTGTAGCTCTCAACCGGCTCTACAAAAAAGGTTATAACAAAAATTTAGCTATCTCCGTTAGATTCCGAGATATTAATTGAAAACTCGCAATTTTCGAATCTGCATGAAAAATTAGATTTTAATTCTTGTTAATGAGTAGGGCTTATTAAAGTCTCTATTCATGAAAGCATTCATCGAATTCACTTGATTGCAAAGCTTCCATTCGTAAGCAAAAACATCAATATCCTCAAATTTTAACACCAGAGACCGATGAAAAAAATACATTAACGATTGAATCATCATTCAAAAGGAATTATTGTCAAACGACTGCATCTTAAAAGTCGGTGTGGCCCCGTTCGAGGACGGAAGGAAGCTGACAAACGACTACGGATGTCGAGTATTTGGAACTGTTGATCTTCGAACACTAGCCGATGGCCTGGGAATTCCCAGTAGAAAAAGCCTGGCTGCAATGTGCATGCAGTACCTGGGGGTTGAACTCGAGAAGATAATCGAGGTGAGATGCGGCGATTGGGACGCTGAAACCCTAACCGATGAGCAGATGTTCTACGCTGCTTACGATGCTGTTGCATCTGTACTGATTTATCGAGAGGTAAACCCCCTTCTCCCGTTACAATTCAATATTTTAATGATTCAAAATCATAATTAACACGATTTATTCCAATTTCACACTATTCAATTCATTTTTTCATCCATTCAAAAATATTAAATAATGATTGAAGTAATTAAAAACCATGAATTTTCATTTCAAAATAATTGATTTCTAGTTAGCTCATTTCAATGTTCAATTAAGGTGTTTCGGTTGAAAAATCAAAATAATGAAAAACAAATTGGGTATATTTCCGAATATTATTCAAAAACACTCTTTGAAAATGTTCAACTTCTTTCAACGTTCATTTAATTGTACAATCATAATTTTCCGAGACTCCAGGGCTATGTAAACTGAACCGCAATTGGAGATCATTTCACACTATCAAAATAAAAATAAACAACCAAGATCACGTTCGAAAGATTACCCGGGCCTCAACGACAGAAAAAAACCAATTTAAATTAAATTTTCTGATCATCCAGATGCAAAGAACAGTGAAACGCAAGCGTTCGCCGCTCCGCAACCTCCTGCTCTACCTGAAGAGTCTGTACCACCGTCGCTACCACCAAGCGCCGCCCTACAACCACGAAGTCCCCCCAGACCTAGTGGACATAAAGTACCGAGGCACCCCAGAGCCCTCAGCCCCCGAGGCAAACAACAACAACAATCTCACAAAGAACAAGAACTCCCCTCCCCCAAATCCCCAGAAGATCAGCAGTATACCAACGCGAAAGGAGCCCCTCTACCACAACTGTTACTTGCAAGCACCAGACGGTGAGACCCTCTGCACATGTGATCGTAAAAAGGCCGAGTGGTACGTGACCAAGGGCCTGGGGGTGACAGTGAACGAGTCACCTCTCACAGTGAGACTGAACTTCGAGCCCTCAGGGAGAGCTCTGGGTCAAGTGGGCCAGTACTACACGCAGGTCAAGGTCAACCAGTGCGTGGTGTGTGGTGGCCAGGACAAGTTCATTAAGAAGAATGTTGTCCCAAGGGAGTACCGCAAGTACTTTCCCCTCGTGATGAAGGCCCACCAGTCGCACGACGTGTTGCTCCTGTGTCCCACGTGCCACGAGATCAGTAATCGACACGATTTAGACTTAAGAAGACACCTGGCGTCAGTCTGCAATGCTCCATTGTCAAGATCATTGCCTCCATCGAGGGCAGATGCGAGCCATCACAAGAGGAGACTGATGTCTGCTGTGAAGGCACTGAGGGACCCCTCGGCACCCCTGCCGCCTCATCGCAGGCAAGAACTCGAGGCTCGTGTTCTTGAATACACGTCACCGAATTATTCCATCCTCCAGTGTGATCCAGAGGCCAGCGTTCATGTCAGTGATGGGATGGAGTTCACTGGGCCAGTGTCGTCATCGCCTTTACAAGCGAGAGTGACGCCACACGGTCTCAAAGTCGTCGAGTACTTCACTAATTCCCAGAATGGTCTTGTCGCACTGGAGAGAATGTGGAGGGAACACTTTCTCACCACTATGAGGCCCAAGTTTTTACCAAAATTGTGGTCTGTACGTCATAATCAGGAACGTCTGGAGATTAGGCAGACGCAGAATAGAATTGAGCCACAGGACGCCAAGGTCGCAGGTCTCGCTAGGTGAATTGTGCGTTTAATTTAGTGATATTTATAATTTTGGGAGGAACAGAATTTTTTGAGGATCTATTAGAGTGAATTGTAGGTTGGTAATTTCGCAGGGACTCGTTTACCAACGAGTACTCTTGCTCTTTCAATTTCCATTTGAAATGTAATGTAATTAGTGAGTATTTATGATTATTAGATATTATGTAAATTTATAAATCAATGAAATTATAAACTTATGTACATAATACTTTAAGAATTAAAAAAATGTAAAAGCGACTGATAAACTTGAAATGAAACAACTACTATTACTTTTTCATTTGAATTATTGAATCAAATCATTTTTCTTTTTCTATAGTAATGGATTTGGAGGAATTAGTGGGCAACATTTAAATTATTTCATCAATTTTTCTGTTGAAATAAACAGTAATTTTTTTCTGATTTTTAAAAGGTTTTCTAAGGGTTCAATATCGAAAGTCAAATTGAGACATGCAAAGTTTAAATAATAAAGTCATTGTAAAATGTCCGGAAACTTAGGGTCACGTGGAGGTTAAATGAAAGCTCTAATGTTCGATTACAAAAGTAGAAAAGCATTTCAAAAAATAGCCAAAGTACTTCGATCTCCTTAAAAAACGTAAAACCACTGTTAAACTTATGTGAAAAAACAACTACTGTTGTTTCATCCTAAACACTGAAGTAATTCCTTTATGACCTTCAAATTTTGACTTTCATCATGTGTATATCGATTCTAAATTTAAATTAATAACTTAATAGAATCAAGAATTTTGAAAAAATTCGTCAAACAAACTCATAAACTGATGCAACACAACTATAGTCCCTTTTATTAAAAAAACCATTGAATTACATACTTCATAATCTCCCTGAAACTTGATAAATCATCAGGTACGTATCGACATCATTTCTCTCGTCATAATGATTTAATTAACTCAATAATATGTACAAATGTGCAGTAGCAATTGTTTGCAGACTAAGAGCCCAAATGACATTCATCATTTCGTCTCGTCCTTGAGAGGTTCTGCGCCCGTTGTTTTGTGACTGTGTTGGAGTTCCTCGTCGATCCTCTCCTTGGCCCTCACGATTTTCGATTGGAGGTAGAATGAGCCGCCCTTGACCCGATCGTTCGCCTCCATGAGGTACTTGTAATTCTTCTCTATGAGCTCCTTCTGGTCTGGCCTCTCGACATTCAGAATTTTCAGGGCCTCCTCCAGGGAGAGTCCAGTCCTGGCGTTTGCTGCTGCCCTTTTAGCACCCTGGGATCCACCCCCAGCCCTCTTAGCCGCCTCCTGACTCGCCGCTATCTCCTGACGCAATGCTCGAGCAAATGCTCTTCCCACTACCTGAGTGCCCAGCACTATTATTTGGGCTATGTACTTTGCCATAACCTGGGGATCGTCTCTTCAATTCTGTTGGGTTTTTCCACTGACCAATTTTACCGGGATCACTGTCGGTGAAGTTCAAAACACTTGGCTTTTTATTTTCCACTCAAGGCGCGCACTTGCTAATTTTCCGTGAAACTTTAGGGTTAGGTCGTTCCATCATTTTTGAAATGATGAACATAACCTCAATCCCTGGGAGAAGAGGACCCAGATGACGGCTTATCTCAGATAATTGGGTTGGATAGGGCGGGAAATGGAGAAGAACAGTTCTTCAATCTTTCGAAAACCGGAAAACCGAAAGAATTGAACGCTCGTTTGTTTGTTCATAACAGAAAATCTCGCATAATCCTTTCATAAAAAATCCAGGGTAACGGTTTTTGAAGCCAATTTATTCGGCGTATTGTGTCATTAGACTTTTTATAAGTGATGATAGCATACATTAAAGATAAAAAGCATGTGGAATCGCCCTCGGACGATGGCCTATTGTAAGGAACTTATTTTTCAAAATTTTTCTTGCAATAAATTCCATAGAGGAGGTTGGGGTAAAACAGCCCCTTTTGACTTTGATTTAAATGTTAATGAGGGGTTAAAATGTTGATGAAATTCAATATATTTTTTTTCAATACAAGTCTTACACTACACTTACATTTTTCAATACAACTCTAAAAGAACAATTCTTTCGTTTTGTGACGAGCCTAAACTGAGCTCAATTGATCAATTTGTGTCTGAGTTATGAATAAATTTAAAAAAGTCTAAAGTGTCCGTTTTACCCCACCCTCCCCTAAAAAAAAATTAACAAATTAAAAAATATGTGACAATGGGCTAGAATGGTCCTTTTTAATCATCAATAGCTCACGATTGTCTGAGTCAATGTTTACGATTTTTTTTCATTTTAAAAAGATATTTTCAAGCTTGAAAGTGTGACCTGATATTCGCACAAATCGTAATATTTGATCGGGAGATATTCATTATATGAAAAGGTCCATTTTAGTTTATGTATTAATTCATTGGAATCACTCACCGGCGTTGGATGAAAACAACAGCTCCGTTTTCACCTCTCCAACCACCTACCGTAATTCTCATCCGTGGGGTTGAATCCTCTCGAACGCACTTACGTCCACAGAACAATTGATTTCACTAATCCAGGATGAACAGCTCGAAATGCATCATTTTTTCTGTGAAAATTGACGCTAAAATCACTAGACACAGCACAATAAGAACTCGGCACTCATAAAAAAAATGAATTTAAGCACTAAACACTTCACTGACACTTCAAACAGAAAAAAAAAATTGTTTGTGGACAGATAAAGTCTGAAGGTTAAATTTTTATCAGTCTTCTGGGCCGTTTGTCACAATATAAAGTCACATTTTTTTGGTTGGAGGTCATAGACTTGATGAATATCTTTGTTAATCTCCACAGGATGCTTCAAATTGGTTTGAATCAGAGATTTGGTGCTTGAAAATTAACACATAATGGCGAAACAATAATCATTTTCACGATTCTTGTCAATTAATTTATAACAATCGGCAACAGAATCCTTCTAAATCTGAAAGGACTTCACACATACCACAAAAACCCTTGTCTAGACTTTCTGAAGGCCCAATGCCAACTGTTTGTGGCCAAACAAAGGCTTCCGGCCGGCGTACTCAGCCCTCTGGGCACCCCAACTCCTTTGTTCACAATGAAAAAATCACAAATCGTCCGATTTTAGATATCAACTCGACAAAAATCACTCAATATGATTCTGGGGACTCAACAAGCTACTGTGTATGCCCAAATAAAGGCTTCCAACCAGCATTTCTGTCCTCTAGGTCCATTCTCGCCCCAAAAACATCACAAATCGTCCGATTCAACTCATCACCTCCATGAAATTCACTCAATTCTAACGACAATAGACACTAATCACAGTAAAGACTCCACAAGCGACTGCTTGTGGCCAAACAGACGCCTCCGGCCGGCGTTCTGAGTCCTCTGGGCACCTCCAACTCCACTATTCACAACAAAAACACGCTAATGTCCTTGTCACAGCACTCAGCCCCCACGAAAATCCATCGCGGACTCCTTTGTACTTAACACGCGACTGTTTATGTCCAAATAAAGGCTTCCAACCAGCATTTCTGTCCTCCAGGTCCATTCTCGCCCCAAAAACATCACAAATCGTCCGATTCAACTCATCACCTCCATGAAATTCACTCAATTCTAACGACAATAGACACTAATCACAGTAAAGACTCCACAAGCGACTGCTTGTGGCCAAACAGACGCCTCCGGCCGGCGTTCTGAGTCCTCTGGGCACCTCCAACTCCACTATTTACAACAAAAACACGCTAATGTCCTTGTCACAGCACTCAG